CGTTCAGTAAAAATAATGTTAAATTAATATTTTAAAGGTGTTTTTCGATCTTTTCAGTAATAATAGTGTTGAATTAGAATTTTCAAATGAGTCTTTCGACCCCATTGGTTAAAATAATATTAAATTAAAATCAGAAAATGTCACTTTTGATCCTTTCAGTAAAAATAATGTGAAATGACAATTTTTAGAAGCAGTGTTTGACCTCTCTGGAAAAATAATTTAAAATACAAACTTTAAAAGCCGTCTTTCGAACCCTTTGGTAATAATAATGTTGAATGAAAATTATAAAAGCTGTCTTTTGTAATGCTTCGGTGAAACTACTGCTGAATTAAAATTTTTAACTTACTCCTTAGGTTAAGATTGCGTTAAATTAGATTTTTAATACGCGTTTCTTAATTACTTTGATAAAATAGCGTTAAATTGAAATGTTGAATGATATCTCTCAACTTCATCGGTAAAAACAATGTCATTTCTAGAATCAATTTAAGGAGTACTGACATTTTGTTTTTTCTGTTCTGAGCTGTGCTCTTGTAGGTTAATATGTAAATATTTCATAGCGCTTAATTCTAATACCGAAAAAGAGACCGAACGATCATACGCTCCGAAATGTTTCACTTCCAATCTATAAACATTCTGCTTCTACTTGAAGTTTTGCGAAAATACGTCGAAATCTCGACGAGATTTGAGCTCAGAATAGACACTTTGCTTCGTTCGTTTTAAGCATGAGGTGGAACAGTCGTTCGAAATTAAATAATTAAATAACGATAATGCACAACAATTTATAACACGTTGATAATTCTTTTATAATCACCATTTTCTTAAAAAAAAAAGTACAAGAAATTTCACGTTATATTGCATATTCCGACTGTGCAGAGCTGTATTGTGCGTAAAATGCAAAAATGCAGCTGTATTTAAAAATAATTGTTTACAAAGTTCGCTTTCTCGTGTAATTCTGTTTTTCGAAATTTTTCTCTCGCAGCTTATTTCTGATGCAAGATAATTTCATTACAACAAAATAAAATGTTAACGAATTCATCTGTATGGAATATCAGTAAAGTAATAAAATATTCGTATAATCAAGCGAACCCAGCGCGCAATATAACTTAATATGAACGTTACATTGCAACGTATGTTTACACGCGTGATTATATTTAGCATTATGTTTACCAGAAATTAGTATTCCACGTATGGTACACCGTCGCCTAACGTATTAGAGCGAATAACGGGAAATTTCATAAACACGATATTAATTAAACGTTGTTATAAAAAATGCTCCACTTAATTTTCAAGTATTTTCGAATATTTTCGAAAATTTCAATTCAACGACGAAAGATCTTTCTCAAAATTATATTCCCTGTTTACAGCGTTCGAAATTCACACTGGATCTGTGCGACCTGCGAACGCCGTGAAAAAAACCTCGCAACATCGAACTCTCCGCGCGACACTCCGTAAGAACGCTTTCCTTAAAGTTAACAATTTAAAAAAAAAAGAACTTACATGAAATCAACATTCAACATGCAGAAACACCATGCACAACGATCCATCGCAAAAACAAGTCAGCGAAGCTTCGGAAACGGCGAACGATAAAAAATATCTCGCGGCGAAGAACGGTCGCGGCTACACGCCGATTCGGAGGGGACGGGTCATGCAAAAAATCTGGTCCGCAGAATGCGTGCAAAGACGAAATTTTCCCGTCCGTGGAAGAGCAAAGTCTCCTCTGGTCCGGGAACACAAATTTTCTTCGACGTGACGGCGAGAGAAAGAGGGACAGAAAAGGGAGAGAGAAAACGCGTGATGGCGCGGTTTTCAAATCGCGGGCGAAAGCGGTGCGCGCACGGACAGTTTCGTTAAAATCGAGAAATCTCACTAATGCTCCATTCGAGTCAAAACGGGATCACTCACGGGTTGCCGAGGTTGTCTGTTGACGTTAGAGCGAGTGAGTACGGGACCGCGATCCACCCGTGATTCACGAAACTCACGCGAGCTACGAGCTGCTTGGAACGATCGCCGGAGATCCAACGCGAGCCACTGAACACCGTCGAACACTCGAATCCTTCGAGTCCGGGGGCCGGTCGACATTAAGGAAGGAAGCATGCGTCGAGCTTCCCTTTCTCCGTAAAACTCTTTCAAACACACGCGTGCACACCCACTTAAATACACAGAAGACGGTAGGTGGCGCGTGCGCGCGCGACTCTCGTTAGGCGTCCGCGCGAGCTAGAGGAACGCGTACCGATCGACGACGGTTCCTTCGAAAAATCGGACGAAAATAGAAAAAATAGAATGTCCGGTTTTCTCGGCAGGAAGGTAGCGAGAATGATGTGCATATGGTATTGGCGATTGTCACGATTTTAGTTGGCATCAGATTTATGGAGCAGTGATATCAGAATCCGACATTATTCGAATTGTTTCGAATACGTATTTATCTTCGATTATGATCTGAATGAACAGTTTTTGGAATGTTTTATTCGAATTGTAATTATATTCGCTATTTTATATTTATTATTCTAATTATTTATTCAGATAAATTATTCGAATAAGAAATTGTTCTTTATTCGCGTAATTCTTTACATGAATTTTTTTTATAATTATTTATACGCATGATTTTTTGATCGAACAATTGTTTACGTAAATAATTTTGTACATGAGTAGTTATTTATAATTATTTATATACGGATAATTTCTTGATCGAACAATTCTTTATATAAGTGCCATTATTATCAGCAGCCGAGCCGCATCTATTGACGCGCGTCAAAAACCTGAACTTGTAAATCAATCTATCAATTATGAGATGATACATCAACGCCGACCCTGCTGGTCTTGTTGATGAAACGTAGGGCCGAGAGGCGAGGGATGAAAGTAGCCTGGGCTGAAGCGAAACTTGAAACGCTTTGGAGAAACTTGTATCTCGCCGATGGTATTTCTTCGATCATTTCTCTCTTCAACCCTTCGCGATCCTATGCCAAGTCTGGCTCTACACTGACTTTTGCGCTAATCGTTACTTAGTTTGCTGATTTCAGTTACACAGGTTTTCTGCTTCGAATTCATCCTTTTGCAGGTCTCACTCACCTTTTTTGCAACTGAAATTTACTCTTTTGCAAATGAAACTTGCTTGTTTGTAATTATTTGTGATAAAATTCGTATTAAAATGAAAAATTTAATGACACCTTTTAAATAATTATTGGAGGCTTGTTTAGATATTCATAATGAAAATTATTAAAAAATTAAAAAATTATTCGTNATTTTTATATATAATTATATATAATTTATATAATTTTATCTCTCTCTCTAATTTAGGAATCTAATTCTTATCTGCTTGACAGATAAAACTAACCGGCGATTTCACATCGAAAAATCAAAAACTCTCGGTTAAAGGGTTAATTGGCACCGGAGACGGGTCATCAGAAGCGAATTTATAGTTTAGGTTGTAATTTTTTGCGGAACTTAAAAACGCTTTTTAGCCACCTACATTCTGATTAGACGTTGTACGATGAGATACGATTACTTGTCACGCCGTAGTTCTCTGGGGTATCATTTATTTCCAGATGATTTATTGAGTATCTGTCTAGCACCTCCTAGACAGGTTAAGAGCTTCACTTTCAGGGACATTAAGTTATAACGTTATTTTCTTAATATGTCTTCTTTCATGCTGCTACTCGATGTTTACAACCCCTCAAGACATTCAAGTTCTCGCATCGTGAATATTTTTAAATGATATTACTTTAAAATGTAAAAATATAAAATAAAAATTTTCTACGCTAAATGCAATCCTTTTGTAGATCATATTCATGCTTTTGCAAATAATGTTCACTTTTCTGCAAATTGAACTTACGTATTTGTAATTATCTATAATTACAATATAATATTCAATTTGAACCGTGAATGACATTTTATAAATAATTATATTGAGAATTTATGAGAATTAATTATTCGTAATGGAATTTGTATTATTTTGTATATACAATTAACTCTTTTACAGATCAAAACTGTCTGTTTTTTATTTAATTCTTAAATTTGATGCTTATTTTTGTAATTATTTGTAATTAAATACATATTAAAAGAAAAAATTGAATGATATTTTTTAAATAATTATCGAATGTTTATTCAGATTAATTATTAATAATGCAATCTGTTCTATTTTGAATATAAAATTTACTCGTTCACAGATGAAAATTGACCGTTTTTTATTCAATCCTTTAGTCTGATGTTCACGTGTAAATATTTGTAATATTTCATGATGAAATTTTTATTATTTTACATATAATAAAATATGTTATTGTATTTTAAAAATGTCATTCAATTCTTCATTTTAATATGAATTCCATTACAAATAATTACACATAAGCATCAAATGTAAGAATCGAATAAAAAACGGACAATTTTGTTGTGGGAATGAGTTATAATTTGATTTGCAGAAAGGTGAACTTGATTTGAAAAAGGTGAATATGATCTACAAAAGGATTACATAATTGGGAATGCAAAAGCAATTAACACTTAACCCACCTAGCCGGTGAAAATGTACGGTCTCTCAATTATTCTCTTTCAAAACTGTTGACATTCCGATGACTCCTTCACAGGGAATAACCAAATTTGTTAAACCAAGTTAACATTATAATAAAAATAATGTGGAATGTACATAAATACAATCTTTTCGTTTCGATCACTTCTAATTTTCAACAGATTTAACGTTAACATAGGAATGACAAAGAAAATTTCCTACATGTTGAAGATATAAGATAGCGACTGAATGCACAAGCCAAAGTACAAATGTCGAGCCGTATTTATTGAATCCGGATGGATGATTGACTGTTTAGTTAGGTTCAAACATATATTTAGTGACTGATGGAAAACGGCCGACGCGTGGAAAGAGGCACTTCGTGAGAATGATAGGAGGTTGCTCCAGTTTCCAGTCGAGGATGCACCGTTTTTATAGTTTCTTGCGGGTTTCAGGGACTTCGGAGTATCGGTTATTCTATAAATGTGCACCTTGATTGAAGCTTTTAATTCTTGCTGAACGGAATCTCGCCGAAAAGTTTCAATACTAAAAGGATGTTCATTAATTTTTCCAGATATTTATTCATTTTTTAACAGATCTATACATTTTCAAGTAAGTTATTAATTTTTAAGGACTTATTATAAATTTTAGATTTAAAAATTTATTACTTTTCAAGGAGTTTATTATCTTTTTAGGAAATTTATTACTTTATGAGGAGGTTTATTAATTTTTGAGGAAGTTTATTTATTTTTAAGGAGGTTTGCTAATTTTACGCGAAGTTTATATATTCTTTACTTTATTGATTTTATTATTAAAATTTGGTGCTTTCTTGTGTGCAAGTAAATTATATTTTAAGAACGTAGCAATTTTNTTATTATCTTTTTAGGAAATTTATTACTTTATGAGGAGGTTTATTAATTTTTGAGGAAGTTTATTTATTTTTAAGGAGGTTTGCTAATTTTACGCGAAGTTTATATATTCTTTACTTTATTGATTTTATTATTAAAATTTGGTGCTTTCTTGTGTGCAAGTAAATTATATTTTAAGAACGTAGCAATTTT